TATCTGGGGAGCTGGAGGCTGAGAACTGGCGACTATGTAGTACAACTTTAGTATGCGGAGCAACCTGTGGAGCTGGAACCTGAGAACTGGCCATTTTGCAGTACAACTTTAGTACGCGGAGGAGTCATCTCTTGTGACTGAGTCATCTGTCCCTGCTGAGTCATCTCTCGCGACTGAGTCGTCTCTCGCTGCTGAGTCATCTGTGGTTGCTGAGTCATCTCTCATTGCTGAGTCATCTCTCGCTGCCCACTCATAATACACCACTCATCATACACCACTCAACATACACCACTCATCATACACCACTCGTCATACACCCCTCATCATACAAGACTCATCATACATCACTCATCATACACCACTCATCATAACCCAACACTGGTTACAGTTGATTGTTTTGTCAACAGGTAAGTTTGTACTGAAGGTTGAAGTCCGGAGCGCGTGCGTTTGACTGGGGGACGCACGTGTTTGAGAGAACCGGAACACTCCTATAGGTCAATTTCTTCTTGTAGGAAACTTCCGCCGCCGGCTTGCCCGGGAACTACTTGTAATGATACTGTTGTTTGTTTGTTTGTTTGTTTGGTTGGTTGGTTGGTTGGTTGGTTGGTTGGTTGGTTGTGGTTGTGATTGCCTCCATTGGGCATATTGAACTTTCACCGTGGCCGGAAAGCGTTCCCTCTCACTGACAGGCAGGCAAGGGGGAGGGAGGGAGAGAGGGAGAGGGGGAGACAGGGAGAGAGGGAGAGAGAGAGAGAGAAAAAAAAAAAACAGGAAGGAACAAAAGGTAGAGGATTTCAATTTGTGCGTTATCATCTTCCTGCGGCTGGCTCCAATGCCACGCACGCACGTCTATGATTGTCATTTTGGATTGATTGATAGGTTCCGAATGAGAACATCTCTGCCGTCAATAAAGAAACCTTGTGTGCAACAAGCCATATCCCAGCATTATTAGAAGATGTTAGAAGGTAGAGCTGCTGTCCCTCATAAAGGGCAATAAGCATCCAAGTTGTATGACTCCTGGTTCAATAATATGGACAGAATGGGCACGCCAGGGTAGGCTGATGAGGACACGTCAAAGAAGGCAAAGAACAGCAGAGGTGTTGGATAGCTAGGGCTTGAGAGCCCTCGCTTCGGAAAACAAGAACATGCTCAAGTGCCCAAGTGGCAATGACACCGTCTTGCTGCTCTCGTCATCACCAACTGCGGAAGACGCAATGGAGTACAAACGGATCTTGGCAGGCGTGGGCACTCGTGAGCAGCACTGATCTAGATTTCGACCAACCACCAAATGCACACGCAAGTTCACAATCAGCTTCAAGACCATCCAAGACCTAATTGCAAAGAGTCATCTGAATATTATATAATGACCACTACTATACAGGGCAGAGAAGCATTTCTTGGCCAAGATTCCTTGGCAGGTGTCTCGCCCTTCTTGTCAGGACCTGATCTGCAAATGCGTGAGTCAAAAGACACCGTCAATCTCAACGCTACCATGACATGATGTCATGAAGTTCACTAACTCGATTTCCAATCGAAGGCCTAATCTCTATGGAAGAGCAGACTCAAGGCATGAGAGTAGCGCTATAGACCTTTTGGTCGAGTCTATCTCCTTGTGGTAGAACATGTTCACAACATCACCCTTTTTCAAGCATTGACCAAGCTCGGGCAACGGAGCTCAACAAAATAAATACAACCAAAAAGCATACCAAAAAAACACTACACTCACACAGCTGCTACTTGTGAACACAGCAACCCCGCAAGCGAACCTGGAGCAATCACGCCAATTGATTGTCCTCAAACCAAGCCACAAGGGCAAACAAAAAGTGAACAACACAGGGAACGCATCTCGGAAATATTGCCGGGTAAAACGCTAACCTCATTTAACAGCCCATCCTGAAGCACTTCATGTTTTGGTAGGTTCGAAAAGTGATGTTCAAGCCCGTCACACGCCAGTTGCGATGGATTCAAGAACCCCGGCCCTTTGATTTGCCGGGGCCATGGGCCATGTTCTTCAGAACATGGATATGTATGTACAGTGGGGGGATGTTTATGGCTGCATGGCTTGGGTCGCATGTATCTGCTGTCGGTGGCTGGGTTGGTTCGCGGCACGATCGATTCAGCGCTCCTTCGATGTAAGGCACCTTGCCGCCATGGTTGAAGGTCACATGGCAGGTTTCCCAATTGGCGTCCCCTGTCTGTTCAGTGAGGGTGTGAGGCTGCACGTCATTCTTCACCACCTCCGCAAGTTAGGCACTTGGCAAAGGCGACCAACAAGCTTGAGCTGTCTGCCACATTCTGAAAGTGCAAAAGCATTACGACCAACACTGATGAGATGCATTCTATGATGTCAGTTCTGGTGAGCTCTTGCCTCACCCTTGTAGGGTGCCTTTGGCGAGAAGAGGTTCCATGGAATCTCCTTGCCATGCACTACCTGAAATTGAGCAAGGTGAAGTGGTTATAGACGCGATGGCCCCCAACCTAGCAGGGATATATCCGTATCACATGGGTTTGCAGGCCGAGGTTGGAACCTTGACGCCCTTCTTTTTCACAGCAGCTGCACGGCAGGCTGTTCGCGCCTCGGACCTCCTGCATGGGCATGATTCGCAGTAGCACAATGGGAATGACAGGAGAATTGACAACTTCCACGTTTGGAACTTGTCGCCCACCAAATCGAAGCAGGTGGCATGCTAATCCTGTCTGAGGGGCCACCAGACCTTATCCACCCGTATCCACGTGTCTCTTGTGGCGACTCATCCCAGCTCCACTGTCAGCTCCTTCCGGCTGCTCCCACCAATGCCACTGCAGCACCCAGGCAAATTCCGGCGCCGCTTGGCCCAGAGCTGAAGCCGCTGTGATCATCCTGTCTGTAGCCCCTCACTGGCGTTGTAACGTCACCAACGGCCACAGCAGGCCCTGGTGAGGCACCAACAGTGAAGGCAAGGGCCTTGGCTGATGCAGCACAACCTGGAAGAGTCTGCTTCAGGTGACAGCGTGCGTAATTTGCCTTCCCATTGAAGAAAAGGGACACTAGTAGATTGGGGTTCCTTCTCTTATTGAACCAAGCCACCATGGCAAACGAAGGTCAAACACGTAGAGCGGCGGCTGAGCAAAGCGGCTGAAGGTGAGTATCTGTGCCGGTCCCTCTGCAAATGTCACAGCTGCTTCGGGCTTGCAGATCAAAAGGCCGCTTTCACAAGTGCCAAGTGCTGATTGAGTCCTTCACATGTGTCTCCTTTTGACATGTGCACATTTTGAGCTTGTGCCTCCTGCTGGAAGAACCTGTCTCCGCCAGTGCTGGCAAACCCACTGGTCCATGCGTTGCTCTATGATGCTAATGATGTTGGGCAGCTTAACAAGTTTTGCTGGCTCCCTGTCTATTGCAAAGAAGGCCACTGCTTGGTTCCAGCTACACTATAGACTATACTATACATTGATGTATCCTGGCCACATTCCCGAAATCAAAAAAGTGATTGTCTTCTACGACCTTCACTCATGCCAGTTTGTGGAAGCCTGCTGGCTGACACAAGCATTCCATCAAGAGCCAAGCCAAGAGATGCACTGGCGCTGAAGGGCAAGCAGACCGATCAATGCTTGAGCTTGCCAACAAAACTCTCCCATATGTGTTGCTCAAAACCGCACACAAGTAGATAGAACCGCTTGGAATCTTTGAACGTTCGCTGCCGTTCCCGCCTTCAACATACATCCACTTCACCTGTGACAATTGGCCTGAAAGTATCTGTTCCCTGTCTCTGCCTGCGGAACGTGACTGTCATTCGGCACGGCGCACTGTAAGGCCCGCTAACAATTTTGCAGGTGAGCGAATTGTTCATCACTTGGATGTTAGGAATCTGCAAAGTAGATCGAAGTTGCAGTTGATGACAAGAAGGATGTTCTGAGCTGACTGACAACATTGAACAAAATGACATACATAATACGGAGAGCAAATCCATCTCACAAGAGCAACTAATTCCAGTCACAGTGAAGGCCATCTCTGGCAGGCACGGTGACTGTGGGCAGTCTGGAGGAAAAAAGTATAGGAAAGCCGGAAAGCATTGCAGTAATTGCACCAATGTCAGCTGGTCCCTGTTGGGTCGCTGTGGCTCACAGTAAATGGTTCTCTCATCTTCTCTCCATTCCCGCCACGTGCATCTGAATTAGAAGACTTGGATACTGTACAATGGCAGTCAGCGGCTTAAATTGGGCCGCTCATGCCAACACAAACAAGCTCGTCGGGGCTTGTGTTGCCTATCATCCTTTGGTCTCACCTTATCTCAGCCTCACTCGGCATCAAGTAGCCGGGAGCCACTCCTGTCCTTTTCAAGTTACAACCAATGAACGCAAACGAAGCCTTAGCGTACATGTCATTGAATTTAAAACAATTCCTAGGTCGTCGGTTATTTTCATTATTTTCACAACTAAATTTAGTGACGTCGTCTAAATCACGAAATTATTTTTACGTCGTGTGCCCTAACGCCCCCAGCCAGCCAACACGCTGGCCAGCCAGGGGCGACCAAAGCTGAAGCCACGTGTCCACCTGCGCGTGAAAAGGCTCTGGTTAGGTTCTGCTGTTGTGTTTGTTTTGGTCTTAAAGGGAAAGGTTTACGGGTCCAAAACATTTTCTGGGGGGTGTAGTTCGCTTTACTACAAGTGAAAACCCTTGTTAGGGAACAGTTTTGTTGCTTCTTGTTGTTTATTCCTAGTTTGTTGAACTAGAGCGTTTTTACTTCTTACAAAGGGGGGAACATGTTTTTATCCAAAACCTATTTTTGGGGGCGTAGTTCGCTTTACTACAAGTGAAAAACCTTGTTAGGGAACAATTTCTTGTTGTTTATTCTAGAGCGTTTTTACTTCTTACAAAGGGGGAACATGTTTTGATCAATGTCACCTGCCATCGCTGCAGCCAACACCGAATTCTTCCGGCAGTAGCCATCCAATCCGCCAACAATCCACACTCACCCCCACATAAAAACTGAACTCAATCGCTAAGGCCAAAAAATGACTTGCAAGCATTTTTTCCCAGCGTAGTTCGCCGACCTACAACCAAATAAAGCCCCAACAATCCACCTTAAGGCCGCGAGCCCTCGAATCCTAGTTCGGCGAACTAGGCCCGAAATCTTTTTGGGGGGGCCCTTCTGAAAAGGAGAGCTTCTTTGTTTCCAGGCCCAGAACGTGGAAACCCGACAACTAGCTATGAAACAAGCTCCTGTTGTGAATGAAACTCGTGTTAGGATCATATACTTCACCTATGAGCTCGGTAAAGTTTATGGGTTCGACTCCCCCTGCCCCCCCCCCCCTGTTTCCTTTCGGTGGCTTGGCCCAAAATCTTGCTTCAAGAGACAAATTTGACAACACGCAAAGGAAAGCCAGCCAAAACCATTTTTTCCCAGCGTAGTTTGCCGAGATAAAGCCCCAACAATCCACTTTTAAGGCCGCCAGGCCTCAAATCCTAGTTCGGCGAACTAGGACCGAAAACGATTTTGCCAGGAAAGAACAAGTCAGGTTGGGTGTGAAAGGGAAAACAACCAGACCATGACTATTTCAAGTTCCAAGGATCTTTTTCGTCCACAAGCTCTGGCTGAATGCGCCGTCTCTGAGAGGCTTTGGGGCTTGGGAACATTCTTGGCCGAATGCGGTCCGTAGGTGTTGTTGGGCACTCATCATGGCTAGAGGGCCGCTTCATGGGGCACAACTAAAAGAACTTCAAAACTTCCTGACCTCGGAGCTCGGTAGTGTTTTTTAGTGGTGTGGAGAGTGAGCAGGTGAGGCATGACTTCTTAGGTGTTTTTTGCAAACTCGAGCCTGAAAACTCAAGCAAAACTCAAACTGACTGACATATGAAGGCTAAACGGAGGGTGAGTGGAGAAAGGGAGTCAGCAAAAATCGCTTATATGAAGTTAGTGCATCAAAAATACCTTCCACGAAGTTCTGCGAAGGTTTCTGGGATTTCGTTGCAGTCAGTTCTCCTGCTGGCCCACCATTCCACGAACTGTCCACGAACAGCCTTGGGCTCTACGAAGGTCACGCGCCTTCCACGACGTTAGTAGAATAGGTTTTTGCAAAACCCTTTCTGTGCACTACCCTTCCGTTTGCCTTTGACTAGATCCAGTACCCTGCCCACGCCCGCCCACGCCTCCAAAATCTCTGCCAGGACTGTGAAGTCGATGAAGTGTGTGTGTGTGTGTGTGTTTTGCGTGTGTGTGTGTGTGTGTGTCTGTGTGATGTTAGTATGACCATAACTATAACTTAATTTCAGGGTCTTGCTCGTTATTTCGGGGTGACGTCGGTGACGTCGTTTTAAATTGCCTAGTTTGATTGCTGCTGTTGGCCTCAAAGCTCAATGCTTCTGTTCCAAAAAATTGCTCGCTGATTCTCGAGCTCAGGAAGCGTCAGCAACCCCCAACTCGCACCTGGCAAAGGAGAAATGGATTGGATGCAAATGGTTCCAACTCTCGTCCACACTGAAAACATATGATCATATGTATGCGAGATGCACAGTAACTGCGAGTAGTATATGTTGCCGTAAGAAACCAGGAGAAACACTGTTTGAAACCCCTTCCAGTCTGCAGAGTCGCACGTTGGAGTTGGAGACCATATCCAAATGCGATCGCTCCAAAGGACCTCTAAGGCCTGGTCAGCACAGCCGACGAGTCGACCCAGCGGACAAGGTGGCTCTTCTGCTCTTCTCGGGTTCTGCTTCCGGAGACACGGAAAGCAGCTGGCTCGCTTCGGTCCGCTTCGGGTTTTGAAGCTACATGGAGCCATGCGTGTCATGATTAGGTTCGAAAAAAACCCTGCAAGTCGTTTCATCGGCCTCCCGTTTGCGACACGGGACCCAGATCACGCTTGAAGTCTCGCTTGGTGTTGGAGGTATCCGGGACTCCAAGGTGTGGGCCTGGAACGATCTTCGCCCGATTTGCACTGGCAAGAGCTTATCTGTTGTTTCAAACAGTGGCAGAAACACGGTCATTTACGGTAACATATGTGCGGCTGTCACAACTCCTTGTTCAATCTGCCATCACTGCCACCACATAGATTTGGGGGCGCTCATCACTTCCCTAGTTAAGGCAGGTTTCAACGTTCAACCAAGCAAGTCTAAGTGCACGTATGAGCAGAAGCACTCAAAGGAGACAAACAAGCTCAGCTGACTGCTGCAGTCTTTACCTCTTCCATATCAAAAAACATGCAAAAACATGCCATGAGAACATGCGGAATTCTCTTTCAGATCACGAAGCTAAACATGAAAAACACGTCAAACAAATACACTTGGACATCTTGGACTAATTATATATATATATATACTGTATATGTTCATCCTTCATGTTCTGGCAGGGCATGGCTTTTGGGCGGGCCATCGCTTCCCTGGGTTTGGGCAAAATCATGCAAAGTCTTAAGATTGAAGGCGGCTCACATCTTCTGCTCTACGTACCGTGCTTTGACGATGTACAGGAGGGTATATGGTGTTAAATATTGCTATTAAGTTCAAATACATGCACACATTCATTAAAAAACATAGAACCCGAGCATCCCCTGCTTCGGAGGATCAACTATCCAAAATACCGCCTTTTCCCACCAAATGGGTTCTAGGTGTGTGTGTGTGTGTGTCAACCCCTGTGCCTAAGGGTTCCCACAGTACGGTTTGGAATCTTTCTTCCTGCGGGGGCGTGTGACACTCTTATCCTATCACACGCAACGAAGCTGTGGACAAGAGTGGAGTGGGAAGGGAAACTTGGCCAGTTTCCTGTACCTGCGACGCAACTGTTGATCACACGCTGTCCAATTTCCTTTTTTTGCTTCCATGGTGGTTCATGATACTTCCCACAAACCCTTTTCCTACCGCTGAGCTTGCCACCGCCGCGTCTTGTAGCATGTCACCGCAGTCAAGTGAAGAACTCCTTTGTTAAAACACCTTCAAATCTTTCGACCTTTCGCCTTGCCGTTCTTTCTTTTCGACCTTCTTTTCACTTGGGAACTGAGTTAACAGAAAACCAATGTCAGAGTGTGAACCGCTCAGTCGTCCCACTTGGGTGCTGGGTGTGATCCTCCGCAAGGAGGCGCCGTTCTGATTCCGGAATTCGTGTAACTGCTTTCATCGTTTCCACCACACCTCGGATTTTCTTAACAGCCTTAGTGTCACCACTGCGTTGCCTGAATCACAAGCCGCCGGGCTTTCACGGGCAGAACTGCTCAGATTCATGCTTGCAGCCTACTTTCAATTTCAAGAGTGTACAGTTACACATTTTCCACCATGGACCAATCCTGGAAAATCCGGGACCCCACTAGCGCAGGCAGCCAGCGCCTTGCTTTGTCAGGCCTTGCCTGTCGCCTACATGCAATTTACACTTACAGCTACCCACCAACCACAGCCGCTGATGAGCTAGTCAGACTATACGTCCTAAAGGGACACAATGCGAAAGATTGTCAGCGCTTTTTGAGAAAAATCACACGTGCGCCGATGACGGCCACGTGTGTGTGTGTGTGTGTCAACCCCTGTGCCTAAGGGTTCCCACAGTACGGTTTGGAATCTTTCTTCCTGCAGGGGCGTGTGACACTCTTATCCGATCACACGCAACGAAGCTGTGGATAAGAGTGGGAAGGGAAACTTGGCCAGCTTCCTGTACCTGCGACACAACTGTTGATCACGCTGTCCAATTTCCTTTTTTGCTTCCATGGTGGTTCTGATACTTCCCACAAACCCTTTTCCTACCGCTGAGCTTGCCACCGCCGCGTCTTGTAGCATGTCAGCGCAGTCAAGCGAAGAACTCCTTTGTTAAAACACCTTCAAATCTTTCGACCTTTCGCCTTGCCGTTCTTTCTTTTCCACCTTCTTTTCACTTGGGAACTGAGTTAACAGAAAACCAATGTCAGAGTGTGTGTGTGTATATATATACATCTGTATGTATATATATATATACAAAGACACGGACGCAAATATAGATGTCTATCCGGTTTTCCGGGGCAGGACCTCTCTGAACCGGGCCTACAAAGCCTGGCACAGACCGCTGAACAGCTCCACCTGAGCGACCGCTGAAAGTAAGCTGAGTAGCAAATACATGCAAATACTAGTTACACCAGCTAGGAAGCAAATACTGTAATTGTTTGATCATGTTTGCTATACCTGAGTTTCTAGGTCCACAAATTTAGAAACATCAGGCTCTCAGGAGGTGCTACACGGTTCTAATCTGTGATGTACATGGTGCATCAATGTGCATCAATGTGCATCCGGTGATTCACACGGCAAGACGCTTCCTAAGTTGAGCGCCAAGTGCATGTAGGCAGTTCACAACCGACATCAAATTCTTCCTCAGGCTTCTTCGACTCAGGACTCCCTCTGCTTCTCGACTCAGGACGCACCATGTCGCACCGTTTGTTTTGCTGATGTTTTGTTTCGTCCTTTGTTTCGTGTGAACACGTCACTCATCGTGACTCACATTTTATGGGCTGAACTCATCATAGAGGTCGTCGGTTGAGAAGAGTGCGTACTCCTCTGGCAATTCTTTTCCACGGCGTGGAAGCTCAAAATGGCCGTCTGCAGAAATCGTCTTGTCTGATGGTTTGACTTGACAGGGCAGGTCGGCAGGTCCTGCACTCCAAACGTGCGGCAGGCACGAAGGAAGTTGCAAATGTTTTCTCCTGGGCAATACATGCAATCCTGACCCCACCCTTCAAGCCACGGATGCAAACATGCAGGAAGAAACTTCGTGCTCTCGGCTCTGCTGGTGTATCTGTGCCGAGATTGGGACTCTCTTTGAAAGGCATCCCCGGTGTGTTCACCTCAGGTCCAAGACCCCCCCGTGAAGCCAACACCTGCGACCTCAGGGCATTTCAGGGCACAGCCTTGGCTATCGTTCCAGGCTGGATGCAGTTGATGAGGTCGCACAAGATCGCACCTGAGCCTCAGAACCGCACATGAAAATGGACATTCCGCGCATTCCATATACATGACGGCCGTGTTTGAAGCAACGAGTCTTCGCAGCTTTGGCTCAGCAATGCTTTTCAGGCCAGCTTGGCTAGTCTTTGGTCTCCCTGCGTCTCAGTTGACCCAGTGACCTAGTCCAAGCAAAAACAGTTCCAACACGCTCCACACACCCATGATGACTACTTTCACCGTCTTACAACGTTACTTAGCTCGCTGGCACAACCTGTACATCAGGGTGTTTGGATGTATTTCGTTCCCTTTCCCGATCAGCTGAAATCAGCCGAAAATGCCCTTGAAAATGCGTCCCAGAAAGCCACCACTGCTCACCTGCGTGAGTGTCGAATCCACCATGGTGCCACATGACTGCAGAGCGGTGCTGGCATTCACCACCAAGGACTGCAAGTTGCTCAGTACACCATCCGCCTTCATGGTGAGGTTGCCAATCTTTTCTGGGGTTTCATCTCCGAGTGCCACTGCCAAAGGACCGGCAAGAGAACTGGTAAAGGTCGCCAAGTGTTCGTTGAAGCTGCCCCTGAAAGACTTGACCGTTTCAACTGACTGATCCAGCAACGAGTCCATCCTCTTCAAGGATTCTCCCAGTTCTTTCTCCGTCGCAGCAGACATGTCCTGTGCAATGGCCTGGGTCTTGTCGGCCAAAGAACTCAACTGATTCGTGGCAGTGGACTTGCAGCCATCAATCTTGTCCAAGAGATCCTTCTGACCCATAGCGGAGAGCACTGTTTTGGTGGTGTCAACGGCTGCTTCGATCTTGTCCAAGGTTGCTTGGTACGAAGGAACCATCTGCTCTACCGTGTCTGTCACCAGTTTCTGCATTTTGGTCAGGTTTTGGCTTACCGTGCCTGTCGCATTCGCGGTGGCCCGAAAGGAGTCGACTGACTTGTTGAGTTTCAGGCTGGCTTCCTGAATGTCCTTGTCGATGCTATCGAGGGCGTCACTGATCTTGGCCGTCACCTGTCCAATGCCTTGATTGGCAATTTCATGCGCTGCACCGACCACATTACCTAGAGTGTCCCCAAGCTTGTCCAAGCCAGGAATCTGCATCTGTTTGTCATCTGAACGAATTTGCAGCAGCTGAACTTCATCCTGCTCACAGTCCTGGCGTTGCCCAGCAGCAAGGGCAAGCAAACACAGGGTTTTAATCACTTGGGAAGTGAACATGGCTGAGTGTTTTGGCGCAAAATGGGAAACGATTCGATGACGTATTTGAGCTCCAATAGCGCCCGGTCAATGACATCCTTTTTGATCCTTTTTGTGGTTCTCAAGTGGCAACTAAGTCTCTAGTACTGCAGCGGCTGAAAGTAGAAAGCTAGATTCATAGCCCTCACCCCCGCACCAAAAAAAAGAATTGTCCCGCCAAGAGGCCCTAAAGTGTAAAGTTCGAAAGGGACGAGTCCAAGGTAGAGCACCCACGATCACAGGGGAAGAGAAAGGAGGGGGAAATGTAAGCGGTAGAAGGAAGAGAAGGGGGCCGGTTACCTGGTCGAAGCTTTGGTGGTTCACTGCGTGCGGTGCCGCAGCGAAGCAGGAAAGGTGTAAAAAAGGAAACAGAAAGGCAGAAAGCAGAACTGTCGGGAATGAGCGCACACAGGTAACACTTGCAACTGCAAAACATATGACTTCAAACGAAAAAGAGCAAGTTGAAATTGCAAAAAAATAAACGAAACGATCTCTACTTCTAGAAGACTAGAAACAATTCTCTCTAGGCGACAGAGGTCTAGAGGTTGGGAAAGCGATCCAAGTAGGGATTAAGAGAGATCTAGATACAAAGCTCCATGTGAAACAGTTAGCTAGAAGGACGAGGAAGAGGAGAATAACTCTGGAGAAACATGTTTTCCACGATTTGCCTTCCGCCAAACTCCCACAACGTAACATGCACTGAGATCCCCGGCGCAGAATTGTACCAAAGTTACCCTGAACGTGGTGACCGGTCACAGCCTGGAGTCGCAAGGGCACGATTTGCACGGTGCCAGTTCGGGGGGCCTTATGGCCTTATGGCATGTCTTGCTGTGCATCCTGAATTAAAGCATGATTGCACAATCAGTTGGCAACCTACAAACATGGCATACCAGTATACATACATACCACAATAAAGGCTTAAGTCCGTGATACCTACCTACTATCTCCAGCAATGTCTCAGATCAAGTGTCAAAAACAATTGCCTCCACCCAATGCGCAGCAGCTTCTTCCGCAGTACGGCTGTACTTTGCAGCAGCCTGCAGCAACTTGCAGGTAACAAAAGCAAAGGATGCACCGTGAATCTTCTGACTGTCTGTATGCAAAATGCAACCAAGTTCTTGCAGGGCTCATAATCATGCAGCAAGTCCGTGCACGGACATATATATATATATATTATATGTACGTTATACATACAATATAGTTAAAATATACATATGATATGTACTTATTTAATTTCTATCTGTCTGCCCCTGTACGGCAACATTGCACATATATAGTTGGATTGCTTTTGGCGGCAGAATTCAGTTGTCTACATTCTTAGCATGAAACCGAACACCAAGGCCCTAAGGCACATTCATCAGGTATGATGAGCTGGCTAAGGAACCTTGGCCTTTAACTCTGCGTCCAGGCCGTAGCATGGCAAGTCCTGCCAAGCATTCAAACAAACATGTTCGCGCTTTTCACATCCATTGATCCTTGTTCTCTTGGTCTTCAGCAGGTTGCTGGTTGAAACAGGCTACGTAAGAGATCTGCAAACACTGCATTATGCTGAAAAAGTATCTCGGTGTCATCTTTTTGCTTGTCCTCTTGCTTTGGCCGAGGCGAAGGTGCAGCATGCCTGTCGCAAGAACTGACATGACGTCGCTTTTTGCCCGAACAGTGAGATTCTCATTACCCTTTCTAAACAAAACATGGTCAATCCTCTCATGGCCAAATGCAACGCCCTCCCTCGTGATGCAACCCAGTAATATATGACCAGCCTGTGCCCTACGCTTGCAGCGCGAGGCCCCTGAGACTCACAGAAACACCAAAGCACCGTCTAGCAGTGGGACAACTAAGTAACGATGACGAACAACTGCTCATGCAAACGCAGTCACATACAATCACTTCAAAGTTACTCCATATATCTCGATCTCGTGCTCACAAAGGCGCGCACCACTGCGCGCCACTTGAGAACTTCATGCTACTTCAATGCTTCATGTTGGAGTCTGCCTGTGACACTAACTACACAATCTTATATAAGCACAAGAATATGTGATTCCCGTGATTCGTGGATCCGGGCAATCCCCCGACATTCGGCGTGGGATGTTGTTCACCAGATCCACGACTAGTACAGTAGCATCAGTAGCTACACCTACACCACGTCCAATGGCAGTTCCGTGGGTTCAAAGGCCCCGGGCACTTGAGCTTCGCAGGACTGGACGGAGCTCGTTACTGCGAAAGTCCCGCGCTTCCACCTGCGCAGGTCGGAGCAGCGAGAGGCGAACGGAACGAAGAACCGACCTGAAAGATCCCACGCCTCACTCTCCAGGCCATTCCTGAAACATCCCAAATCCCGGGCAGTGACACCAGAGTGCAAACTGACAAGACAAGCATCCTGCTTAGTTGACCGATTCCAGCATGAAATGACTTGCTGTCAACTTGCATTGTCGTTCCGATTGGCTTGTACAAGGAGGCCTTTTTGATTGAGGTCAATGGGCAAGTTTGTCATGCACACTGTAATCTCAGCATCCAGATGCATCAAGTCTATTCAGTATATAAGTGTAGCTCACTCAGGGCCACTCCTTGGCGGTGTCCGGGGTGGAGATGCGACTGACGCAACATCCACCTCAGCTAAGAGTCAACAGTAACATCCCAGTCGTGCAAACAGCTGCGCAAGTATGGCATCGCCAAGGGCCAAGGCAGCTCCCAAAAATGATATTCATTGAGATTCCAAATAACAAAAGGAAGAAAGGCCAAAAGTTTAAAGGATTCTAAAGGTCTACCGAAAAGAAAAAAAGGAAAGAAAAGGAATCTAAGATTCCGTGCAGAAGGCAGTCTCGGGGGTACGGTCCAGCGGCCCTGACTCTCAGGGTCGCCTGCCATCAGCTTTCAACGTTCGGTGTGAACTAAGAACCGTAAGAGCCATCATTGGCGCTGAATTGGGCAAACATAGAAAAATGAAGAAGCTAGCGAAACTCATGGTTCAATATGGTTCAGAACCAGGTCTCAAGGACACTCATCTAGAAACGTGCACTCCGGACTAGTAAATCGACAACAAGCCGAGCTTTGTGGGACAATGCCCGACGTCTTGCCATTCAATAGTGAGTGGCCTCTACTCAAGAAGCTCTCACTGCTGCTGCTGCCACAAGCACTTTCCTGGCAAGTCTTGGGACAATCTTCAACCGCAGGCCTGCAGTCCTACTCTACAGTGCAAGCGAAAGTCCAGCAACTACAGTTGTATGACCTTGAAGGACACATACATAAAGCAAACTATGCAAACGTTGCACTATATGCACACATATCATATGTACACATAGATATAAATATACAGCTCGGTGGGAGCAAAACGAACCTCCACTCTCAACTCATAGACTCAGTCCTTGGGGCGCCAGGCCAAAGCAACCTCCTCCTCACTGGGCGGAGCTACAACCGGCGCATCTTCCAGGTCCTGAACAACTCGTGTTGCGATTCTTTGGAAAAAGGCATCAATGGCAGCTCCGGGTATGCCCTGGCCTGGCTGCTCACTCAACCCCCATGTTGTCCACGACATCAGAATATACTATCATATTAGTACGTCATTATACTATATTTATTCTATCTATCTATCCAAAAAATATTGTTGCTTTTGGTGTGCTTTGTGATGTGCTGCTGTGCTGCACAAAGAATCATCAGCTACATGTGGCACACCTGCATTGCCCCATCCCCAGCGCAAAGTTGTACTCTTGACTCGAGCAGTCGGGCATTCCTTCAGCAGTGCCACGGACGGGCGACGCTTTGACAATGTCGTCTTTTGCGCCTTCGTCAAAGGTGTTTCTCGACAGCTGTTGCTTGAAGTTCACATCACATTCTTCAAGCACAAAGCACTGCCGCTTTGACGGCATGACGCAACTGTTCTACCCATGATGAGTTGACACAAAGTGGCAGCTCGTAGAAAGAACATGAAAGAAAACACATCTGCCCAAGCCTGCCACTCGTGGATTTCCAAATTGACCTGGCGTGCTATGGCACAACTTGGAAGCCTGTCTTGTCATCATGTGTCATCATGGTCCACAGTGGAACCAACACAGTCGACTCAGTTTCTTTTACCTTTTGAAACAAATTTTGGAAGGGCAACAAAACGGTAGAGAAACTGGTTCTATCTTTGCACAGCGAGCAAAACAAACTAAAGGGGATACAGCCAGCATTTGTGATTGGAATCAATACATTGCAATTTCAATTTCAATTTCTTTAACCTCCTCCAGCACCGGCTTCTCAGCCGCGAATGACGGACTTTTGCTCCACCCTAGCATGTTCTCATCACTGCATCCCGATGCCTGGGCATTCTTTCATGGACGACAGAAACTCTTCTTTGGATTTCTTTGGTAATATTGACATGCTGGCATTGAACAAATTGTATCAAATCGTGTCTCCTTGTCTCCTCACGCTATATCGCTATATGGGTGTGTATTTGTTTACCGTAGTCGGGCCGGGAAGTTTGAATAGGTGGTATGATTCGGGGGCATGATTCGAGGGTATGATTCGCAGCTTTGAAGTTGTTTTGTTGGATTAGTTGGACTTCCAGCAGTGGGCCCACTCTGCGCCGAGGCAGTAGGCAAGCAGCATCTGTTGGACGCTGGTTGGATGCTGGGCAGACTAGGCAAATGCACTCTTCCACCAAAGACTCCAGTGGCCCTCTCCAGGCCCCACCAAAACAACCAGGATGTGGGATGGGTGGGAGACTGTGTGGAGGCACGTGATTCGGGTATGAATCGGGCATGAACCGGGTGTGGTTCGTATGGCCATTAGATTCTGCAAAAGAAGGCGGTCCCTTTAAGGGAGAGCACATGGGAACATTATGAGCACCCCTGGGATGTGAGCCTTTGCTCTTCCCACAAGAAGGCACAAATAGTTTTGGACAAATTGAGTGCCCATGGATCACACAATTGCAAACGTCATGCAGCATGCACATTGGCTCATGGACATCTACCAAAGACCAACCAAAAACTTCACCTTAACACCTGGTTCTTACGTGTAACGTTTTGAGGGGTATGATTCGGGGGTATGATTCGAGGTATGATTCGAGGGTATGAATCGCTCAAGTCGAACTTCCAACCATTACACCAGGAAGTACACGCCAAAAAAATGCAAACCCATATAGATGACTAGGACTGAAGCCGTATGCTGCAGGCTCTTCAAAGAAGTCAAACAATTTCTGCTCCTCCTGCAAAGCCAAACAAAGCTATACTAACATATCAAACATCTGATGGCTCTCTGCCCAAAGCGGAATCACAGAGTCCCATCACCTGCGATGAAGCTGGCAAGCCGCCTTGAAGCTTCAATGCCTTGGTGACTGGTGCTGCAATGCCTTGAAGCTTGATTTAGCTTACAGGGTTCCAAAACAAATCAAAACCTCTCATTCCTACTTCAGGGTTCAACCGTCATCCACACTCTTGCATTGCATGAGTTTAAGGACTCAGCTTGAATGGCTTTCCGGGGCCCACGTCGAAGCGGTTTTTCCTGCACTTGCCTGCCAGGCACGAAGTAGTGTGACGTACATCGTATTGTCCGCCCTTGTGCAGAGACGTTCCAAACTCTAAAATGTAAGGCCACAAATCAGATCAAGAACACGAAAAACTGCGGAAGCAAAAAGCAACTAGAAGGCCTCAAAACGATCAAATATTGAAACATCAAGCAATAACAAAGAAGCCCGTAAAGCAACAGGAGGCAAGAATGATTGGCAGGTTGCTGAGTAGTACAGGAAGGGACAAGTGAAGGAGCACGCTGGGAGAAATCAACAATGCTTGCAGCTTGTTCGGGATTGGCCTTCTCTTTGGGCATCACCAGGCAAAACAACAAAAGAATGGACAAATGCAACTCCAAAGGCAGTGATATGCAGTTGAAGAAAAAACAACACAATCAGAAAAACAATAAAAGGTGAGAATTACGAAAACGCCGAAGCACATAGGACAGAAAAAGAAATGCCGCATGTATGTTGCCATCTGTTTCTTTACCTTGTTCTTTGTTTTGTTTCCGTCTTCTTTTGAGTTCCTTTCCGCTTTCTAATTATTGAATATTATTGATGTCTGTTTCATAATGTGTGCCTACGGCCCGTACGGCTGGATGTGTATCATTGTATTCATCTATAATTATCTCGACCTTCTTTAATATAAAGGTCTCTTAAATGATCTTGTTGAAAATCGCTTTTTGAAGTTGAAACATTCAGAACGTTGATGCACTTTAGTAAAGACTTAATATACTGTATATATATATATATTTATGTATTAAAATGTATATATGTTTAAATTATACAAAAATATGTAATACTTACTTTGTCTTTTGCCACACTCTTCTCTGTCATGTTGCACGACTATCATGCCATTCCGACTTCCGACTCGCTCTGGTAGCACCTCTTCTGCGGGGCTCGAGGCGCTGCAAAGCCACCGCTATCTGTCGGTCAAGTCAATCCCATGTCGGAAGAAAACGAACGCTGTGAAGAACATTAAAAGACTCCATTGCAGAGGCTGTTCATGATCTTGGCTCGTCAAAAGTGTGTGAGTTCTTCCACCATTTCTTGCCACACCCACCAATTAGAAGCAAGTTGATGATGGTACATGAATGTGATGTCACCGCTTCTCCTATAAATGTCAGCTTGCCAAATGCATTCGAGGCGATCTAGTAGCGCTGGCCTTGCTGTGTGACACCAAGACCTGCTCCAAGAAAGCGTCGTCCAGACTCGCCTGCAAGTTATTGATAACAGAATTAGTGCATGTGTATCGGAATGTGTTTTGCATCTCTGTTCTCTTCGCAGTCTTGCGCCTTTAAGCTGCTCCTCCTTCTCGTTCGAACTCCTCAAACCAGCTGGTTCAGCTGGACGGGACGACTTTGGCCTTTGCAAGGCTTGGTGATTTCCATCCACCACTCACAAGGCAGATCTCTTGTCTTCGCGTCTCATCTTCCATGGACAAACATGCCATGTCGCATAGCCGCATTGCTCCATTGGCCCCTCCAGCCTGTGCCCCACCTGCTGTCCGGGACGGACATTCTCTGATCCATGGCCACCACGCGGAAGACGAAACCAAATCCACCGAGACACATCCCAAGCTGGGCCCTCCAAGCCTTGGCGTCTCATGGCGTCTGTGAAGAAGATCAAAACGGCAAGGGCACAAGCTAAAATGAATTCCATGGCATGTTTGTGTCAAACTGGCTGCATACAAAATGATCAATAATGGGTGCATACACAAATGAACAATTACAAACATGAAATGTTTGGCAGTTTCACAGTCACACATGAAGAAAAATGCTGCTGCTACATTATGCCAGCTGAGCTGCCTCATGCTGTCGATACGCGGTTTGTGTCTAAGCAAAAATTACACACGCACACAGCTCTACTGACTGCATCCTTTAGGTAGTCTTCCGGAATGGAGTTGCTTCCTTTGCATTAGCAATTTGCTGTGTCTTTGTGGTCAAACTAGTCATAAATTTACAAATAAAGCTCTGCGTGCCCCACCCAAAAGGGTCCAAGAGGACAAAACACCAGATTGGTCTCGTGTGGTCTCGTGCTTGGGTTAGAACATTCAAGACACAAAAAGGAGTACCATCTCATGACTGCAAGTGCAACAGCTGAGTAAGGATAGAGTTGGTCAGAACACGTCAGAGCTCTTCCGCCGCATGCCAGTACAAATGCGAGGCGATTGACGCCAGAACGAGATCAAACACGTCGATGGAAACTGAAGCAATCCAACTTCCAACCAAGCCTCGGAATTTGATGTAGCCACCCTCAAGCGCGTGCCCAGGCCTCCAAACTCGCAATTGCAGCATTCGGAGAAACTGATCTAATTGATGAGCATCGAGCTCTTCCGAGCTGAATAAAGCTATATCCAAACTTAAAAATAGTGTCCCCGCTGCAGCCTCATCTGATCCAGGAATATGACATCTTCTGTTGTGCGCGGGACACCGAACCACGTACAGCCGGTGATCAGCAACTGCGAGCGTTTGGGATCCAGCACGGCACGAGCAATATACCTGCAAGGCGCTGAGTTCGCTATGATAGAACCCGTCTGGAATCGAGTCAATTCCAGACGTAATTGCGTGTTATGGACAATTTGTTTGTGCAGCAAACGACAAGGAACACATGCACATAGAAACCGAAAAAAAAAACAAAAACGTTTCTGGTCCTTGTGGCCCTCTCTCTAGGGGTAGAGGGCCGGTATGGTCTCAAGCCCCGGGTGCAACAAAGGCGGGCAGGCGGGGCACTACTCAGCTGGGCTCTTAGAAGCGCACATTGTTCCTAGTAGTATGGCCAGAGGCGTTAGGCTCCAGCCTACCCGGGGCACGCCCGTCGCCTCTGCATTTTGCAGGGGTACCGATTGAGCCATGGCATATGAGGTTCTGCCCATTCGTACTGCTTTCTCACTGCGGTCACTATGGAGAGGAGCTACAAAGTTCCAGGTTACACCCGTGAAGGTCTTGCAGCGAACCAATGATTTTTCTATCTTGGAAGTTGCTGATTCGGCGGGTGCTCGGTTGAAGATCAAGGCCACGCGACAATTCGTGCCACTGTTCCATACTGCACACAGCAGCGTGAATTTCGCATGGAAGGAATGTGGCAGGCTCCGCTTCGGTTGTCAGGTTCCAACCGAGACCTTGACTGAAGATCTGTTCCTGCTTCGAGATCAGTCCAACATTGCTAGAAGTGCATGCGACCCGCATTACAGACCATTACCAGAATTCTTCGAACCATGGGCGCAGCAATGGGCCTCTTCAGAGCAAAGTACCGATGATCTTCCCGAACCCTGGATGGAGGGTAAATTCGATTTCTCTGACGGACAGGGAACCCACGGGAACCGGGCGAGCAATCCAGATCATCTTCCAGCTCAAGGTCACCAGTCAGAATTACCCTCTGCAGATGGCCGCTCTGATTCGAAAGCATCCCCCAAACTTCGGGCGGGTGATTCTGTGCTCAGAGCGCCAATACTCCCGGCAGATACTATCGATACGACCTCACATGTTCAGCACAACAGACACCCACATGTGCTGATGAACATGCGTTCGAATACCAAGACCATGATGAACCATGGGCCCATTGCCAAGGCAATATTCGGCAGGGATTTCATTTCGACCAGTTGTCACACCCGGATCATCACTTACCCGAGTGGTTTGGATCTCGTCAGACTACATCTAGCACTCTCACTGGCAATGACTACCATTCCCTGCCTACTCGACCATGTGCCGTTAGCAAAGATGAGCTATTTTTGCAATCAAATTCACGTGTGCTTTCCACATGTTATGCATGTGTAAGTGGTGTTTACCGCTTACTTTCGAAGGGCGCCAATGTTCGAACCTTGAGGTCATACCCCAATAACAGAGAATCACCACTGGTCTCAACCTCATCTTCATGCCTACGCGACGAGATCCACACATGCATCCCCTACTCTGTAGATGGGAACCCCGACCAGGGTGATTTTGTCAAAGCTTATTGGATACAGACTTCGACAGGCACTCATATGAAGAAGGTTGATTTTGTGGACGTTCTTGACCTTCGCCAGTTTTGTCACAGAAACCAGATTCGTTACGGGTGGGAACCCCGGTTTGGCAAACAAAGTCATTCTTACCAACAGTCTGGTAGAAAAGAGCCATCTAAGTTGACCTTGATGATACACCTGATCAGTCCCGTCAACAAGAACTCCTTGGTAAGCTGATTCAGACTCATTTTCGGAAGTACCAGGCACTGGCTAGAGGTCCGAGTAGCACAAAGAGAACTCAAAGGGTTTCACACTCGACCAAGACCTTCTCGTCCTGGGAAGACAGCGCTTTTGTTCGAATGAGTTGCAGCACCAAGGTGAACAAGGTAGAGAAAGTTAGTGATCGTCCTCCGCTCACTTCGATCGATAAGTCACTGAATCAGACATCGACTATTGCTTCTGAACGATATACCTTCCAGGTCCCTTTCGACCTAGAGCACTCCAATGTCTACAGTGAACCTCAAGAAACACCAACGGAAGCTGACGAGATGATTTCTTTGTCATTCAGGTCTTCCAAATCAGTTTTGTCTCCGTCACCGGACTCGATCGAGTCAGTTGGATTCCCAACTGCCGCGCTAGAGATCCCACAATACAGTGACCGTAATACTCCTCTATTGTCCGATTGCTTTGCCTCCTTTTGGGCAGATCCTCAAGCAGATGTGATGAACTTGAGCAGCAGAATGAGTTGTACAGACCATTTGACAGCTGTACGAGATGCCTCCATTCCTCCTCAGTTGCTCCTTGAGTCCAATTCTGTTCTGCATGGCGAAGTGTGCTCCAAGTTTTTTCAGGGGCTCTCTATACAACACGACGAATCATTGCCATCTGACAATGCAGCTCCACAAGGAAAAGATGATCGACTCAATCCAGGTCAACTGCACCATACTACCTATAGTGGGGCTGTACCCAAGAACAACAACAACACTCTCTCAGGGAGAACCGTAGACATCTGGTGGTCGATGCTTGGTGATGCATTGGAACAGGGAGCTTTTACCACAGCACAAAACGCTGCAGTCAGTCAAGAGGACTTGTGTCAGGTGCCACGACAGCAGATTGGTGCTCCACTTCTAGCTCCACAACATCCAACCACATGTATCGGGGCTGTACCTAGTCGCACTACCTACCTACGAGATTACCCAGATCTGGGTCTATTGATGCCAGTCCTCCAGTATGCCGACGATTACAAGGGAGCAGTCAAGCATTTGATATTCGACTTGCTTCATACCAACAATCGATTTCGCTATATTTCATTTGGTTCTGCCAACATTCGGCCGTGCAACGCGATACAGGGTCCTGAGATTCCTGGAATGCTATCCCTTCTTCCCAGCATTGAGGAAGTCAGTTCCAACAAGGGCTACGTTATTCCTGTTGACATCAGTTGCACCAACTTCGATTTTCATCCTTTACAATTTAGTCACTCTCCTGGTCACCATTCACAGGCCATCCCACCGACACCATCCAGGTTTGTGTGTGATACAGAATCGTGAAGTGATCAGACTATCCTCTGCGGTGTAGTTAACACCTCTGCCATTTTGCGGCCATGCAGTAGGAGCTCCATTACACGTGATGAACAAGAACTACAAACAAGTCATTTCTTTGATTTTGCGGAAATCTTTAGTTGCTACAAGGAGCTAGAGGTTCCCATGTCGATACTGCCTGCTTTACGTCAGCCTTCGTCGACTTCGTTGTCCTCAAATGAATGCTGTGAATTTCTTGGCAATGACGACAGACCCACGCAATTACCACGACACTGTACAATATCTCCTGGGGCTGTGCCCGACTCCAACAGCGCTTTTCGTCTCCAGACAGAAGGAGGTAATCATGGGAATGGTGTCATGCGATACTCAAAACTCCCCAACACAGATGAGTGTTCCACACAGATCATTGTGGATGGGAAGCAAATGCAAATTCTACAACAGTATACCACATCTATTGGGGCTGTACCCGACTACTACAACCGCCAAGATGATAGCCAACATTCAAAAAGGCATACATCTTTTGCGAACTATGTGATGCTTTATGATTGTGGACCGACCTTGTTGAGTGGGGCTGTACCCGGTGATACCTGTGTCAAGTCAGACAGTTTCCAAGACTATGACGATGACATCTATCTTCTCTTCGACCTCCATTCTACATCGAAAGTTCTTGGTCAATCTCCGCCTAGCTCCGCTGACAGTGCTGGTCAGTTATTTGAATCTGACGATGCAGACGCAGCTTCATACAATCATTGGAGACAATCTGTCGCTTGCAGGCCCAACAACATGATCTATGTGCACAACACCACAAAACCGCATTTGCAACAGATGATTCTACAACTTATGAATACAACGCAGTTTTGCACCGGTGCTGCACCTTTCCGCGGAAATTCTGACATTCCTTGTGATTATGATCACAGCCAAATCCTTCAGCGTACTTTCCGTCTGCTCTCCAGGAGCCCTACGACCCGATTCAAACTCAGATCGCTACGGGGTCCTGTTGGCAACATCAGACCCTTCCTCGTTGCCGTACACAATCATTGTCTGCAGACACTGTTTCTACGGTTGTTGACTGTGACAAGGCAGAGGAGATCTTGCGTTACTACCGACATCGTACTGCCGTATCTCGGCCCGGTGACTCACTACTAGTCCCCTTACATCGAGAGTCACAATTGCAGTTGAGTGCTTTAAACATTTCAGACGTCGTCCAGGATGATACCGACTATGACAGCACGATGACGCTAGATCCACGACTTTCAACCACATCTAGTGGGGCTGTACCCAGTTACAACAGTATACATTATGGTGATCAGAGGAAGGATGCTTGTCTTGATCGGGCCAAGGGACATCTTACACAACTTCTACCACACGTGCCTGTCGCTCAAGGAGTTGCTCCCGATCTAGTTCTCGGTCCACATCAGTGTCAACAACCTTTGTCGGGAGAGCCTCCCTTGCAAGATCATCATGTCAGTCCCCGTTTAGATGACTACAATTTCGATTCTCAATTCATTCCGGTGACGGGTCTTTCTGCCCGGGTCAGTCCGTGTGTACAGGCTGGAGCTCGGTTGTTGGAAGTTTATTTTGGCATACCCCATAGGGGTCATGTACATCAACTTCGACCATCGCTATATCGGAACAACGATATCGTACAGCTGTACACCTTGCCAGCAATGCTCACAGACAACACTATATCCAAAGCGAATTTGGATGATGGATTCCTGCAGGGCTGGAGTCAGGCGATTTATCGTGGTGGCCATCCGGCCTGGGGCAAATGCCAGACCCTAACCCTTCCTTCGATGAGCGCTGCGCCGCTGCCATGCACGACGAAAGTTGGCTCGCCTCAGATGAGGCATTATGGTTTCTTCGAAAGCTGAAAGAATGGAGGTCGGATGTCGCTATTGGACCAATGGTGCAATGGAGCCCAAGCAGGGATCTCCATCACTTCATGGACGCTGAAAACCAACTGCAATATACCAACCACCACTTGAATATTCAGATTTTCCTCGTGGACGCTCACTGGCGCGCG